TAAGTTTTTTTATTACGTGATCTTAACTACGTCGTAATTTTGAGCCTATTTGGCTGAAGGAAATTTGATGAAGACACTATTATACAGTCTAAGTCTCACTAGACTCCAAAATCTGATTTTATGCTGCGTATATTTTTAATGCTGTTTTAATAAGTCGTTTTCCTCATGTTGCATTTAAAATCATTCCCTTGAGTTCAAGACTTTGAGAAACTATTGCACACATGGTCTTTGAAAAAAACTCATGATTTATGAAAAATAGAACATCTGCGTACGACTACAGCAACAGATATTTTAACAAAATAAATAACTAACTTACGTCAACCTCGAAAAGGTCATTACATTTTAAATATTTTCTTTGCAATTTATTCCAGTGCACCATAAGAACTAATATATAGAGCTTAAAAGTAAAAATCAGAACTATATGAAAGATAAGACTTTGTTGAATTATTTTGGCATCATTTTTCAAACAAATATTGATTTTCATTATAATTGTTATCAGTTGAGTGATTGTTCTGTTGAATTCTGTAAATATACTTGACATAACATACAAATGTAAGTTGCCTGGATTTTATTTATAGAAAATTTTTGTTATTTACTTATTTATATAATGAGAAGCTGTAAATTATTAAAACTAACGTGGTCGATATTCACGAAAGTTGTCTTATAAGGATACAGAAAAACTTTGTTTTTTTGCTAGATTTTATGGCTTATAGAACCAATTTGATGAATTTTCAAATGTTAAAGTTCTCGATTTTGACCTATTCACAAGTCAGCATAGATTTTCTCAGATGCAATGAAATAAAGAAATTTTTGGTTCTATTTCATTGTTATGATTTGATCGACGGTTTTTTCTTATTGTATCATTCCATATGATTGATGAACACTTTGTGCTTGTAGACAAGAAAAAAACATAGAATTAGTAATAATATGAACTGTAAATAAATTGATACTCTGGTAAAAAAAGTCCGTCGTAAAAAGAAATATGAACTCATGGTACTAAAAAAATGAAAGATGAGAAGTTGTAGAATATTCATCAACACAAAACATGATTAAAATGACTAAAGAGTATAGTAGCGTAGTAAAAGGTGACAGAAGCTCGTAATAAAATTGAATGATGAACTTCAGATCACATGACACTGTAATCTTCAATATAAAATAACGCATTTGCTTTGCTATTATAAAATACGCACTTAAATAAAAAATATGAAGCATGTGACATGATTTTATTTAAATGTAGTTCTATACAAAGAAAATTGACATAAGATGACCAAATTTTATTCGAACAAAATAGAATAATTAGTTTTTTTTGTGTAGTATATTGTTCAAAAATTTAGTAAAATTCTTTTAGTAAATATATATTTTAAACATCTTTACTGTATGTTGAGATTGTGAAACAATTAAAATCGGAACACTTTTCTTTCTAGAATAAAGAAAGTTAACCTAATATATAAAATGCTGCACTTAAGCTGAGTTTTATCGTATGGAAGAAGTCTTTTGATTCATTTCGGATGGAAATGCGTATTTGAAAATATAACTTCAAAATAGATTTATCTTAACTAATTAGGAAATACCTTCTTTTGTCTTATTTTTTTTTGAATGTTTCTGACAATTTAGATTAGATCTGATTACCTCTTTTCTTCTGAAACACAATTTAACGGGAGTGTAGAAGTATTGAAGTAGACATGTGGATCTCTCTACTCCTCCACAAACATGTTAGAAACAGCTAATCACAGACAGTGGGAGATGTTTTCGATATACGACCACAAGTCATACATTAATAGATTGAATGATACAATTCCTCTGGGATTAGAAACAGCAGCTACATCGTGTTTCTTTTTTAATCTCGCAGGGATGGTGCTATTTGATTAAAAAGATATTCAAACATTAGTATTATCATTTGATTCAAGTCTGATCGTCGACTGTAAAAGTTTGAATACACCTGACAATTACAATATTTTTTTGCTAATCTTTGAAATTGATTAGACATTGATTATAATTTATTAAATAGTCTAGAGAAAATCTCAAGGTCACACGAAATTAAAAACTAATACTGTGAAATTATACTATAATTGGATGGAAGCAAAAATCGATTTAATTAAAAATTAAGTGTTTAAAATCTGTTTTATTACCGGTTTTCTTCCTATCGGCATAGATAATTAGATAGATGACTTATTTTAATCTTTTACAGAAAATTTTTGTGTTCGTTCATTTCTCTCGTCGAAACACTATATATAAAACTTGTTGACAGATTTTATAATTACAAAATTATAGTTTCTATTGTGTCTTCGAATTAGTTCTAATCAAGAAGGTTCCTAAAAAAAAGCATGCACTCTCTTGGTATTCGATGTTGTCAAGACTTATAAGCAAGGTTTCTTTTTATATATTCTAATTAAAATTGTTCAGCCATTCATTGAATATATCTTTTAATAAATACCTTCTGGTTCGATAGAATCAGTTTAACAATCACATAAAAAACATGGGAAATTTGTAACTTATTTGAACTGTAATTTTCGACATAGTTGCTGCTAAGTAAAATGTCTTGAATACAGCAAAAAAATATGACTAGATGTCAATAGAAAATAAACGTTTCCTCTTAATATAAATAATGGTATTGTTTTTTTATAAATGAAAGATCAGTTGTATGTACCTAGTTTTTAATTAAAATAATAGTAACAATCCTAGTTCAAATAGAAAAAATTATAGTTCTATACTTCTAGAAAATAAATGTGTTTTCAATCTATATACTAGTGTTAGAAATAAGTTACATTTGTCTGGATTGATTTAGTTTTTTAGCACTAATAGCTCTTCAACAGTTTATAATCTCATCATATTTTAGTTTGTATTTTCGTTATTTTCTAAGATATCATTAAATATTTTATGAAATTATGCATAAAAAACCCAGCTGGATTATACAAAGGATCATCAAAAATTTCTCGTAGTAGCATTTTAAAATTTCATCTTCATTGTTTTTATTCATAATACTGGCTTTGTCTAGTAGAGATATCCGCTATGTACTAAATCACTAATACGAAGTTTTACAAATATCTATTGCAACAAATTCTTAATGAATGTTTTCGTCATCTCTATTTTCAAATGAAAAAACTGTGTATACGATCATATATAAAACCTCGTTTGTTATTAGATCTAACTGCAACAAAAATTCATGGTGAATTAACTACTGCTTATGGATAAGGTTATACACTAAAATAAAATGTGTCGCTAGCTATAGCTTCGCACACTCTACCCCATAAATATATTCCAGCCAGAATATGTCGTGACCTTGTCTCCAAACTATTCATTCACTGTTTGGTTTTGCACATGCAGCTACATATAATGAACTCAATTCAACATAACGAGCTCATATATTTTCATAAGTCATTTTAATGGAGTGTGAAGCACAGCATTTATGTAGTCAGTCGTGTACGCACTCGGCCTGCATAATTTGCATGTTTTTTGCTGTAATAATATCTATACTTTGTGTCGCGATGTTCTACAGAACAGCGAGTCGCTAGAAATTCGTGCCAACTATGTCAGGGATATTCATGGCTTAAGATGACACAAAGGTTTTTGAATCTTCAATATGAGTTTTCGTGCATCTTCAGTAAGTTTCCCAAAACGATAATTTTGACGATTTGGTCTTCATCTTTTACCAGAAATAATAAAAAGTGGTAAGCAAGTCTTCAGTCAATTATTGTGAACATGAGAAATAATGAAAACTTTCAACAAGACAAGATCGACTCTAGATGGAATCGTTTTTCGTTCTTATGTTAATTGAAACTTCATTGCTGAAAACTGAGATCGCTTCGCACCGCATTTATGTAGTCTTTTGCGAATTTTCTTCTTTTACTTAATAGACATACGCAGTCGAAAGTTGTCATTTTCTGTGGTGATGATCTCAAGAACAGGGAGTCAGAAAATACGCAGATAGACGATCTTATACTAGCTTATTTACGCATTGAAGAACATAAAAGTTGTTTTTACAAAATGGATTTGTAGGGACTCTCTCTCTCTCTGTGCCAAACTCTTATAACTATTTAAAATCACAACGGATTATATATCGTAAACTTTTTACCTTTGTTACATTATAAATAGCAAGAGTAAACAAGCTTATTGTAGTTCCAACAACAAAATGATTATGTATCTCACTAAACAAGAATGCATCAAACCAAAATTAACATAATGCGTTGTTCTAAATTTAACCCTCTATCTACATAAGACGATGGTAAGCTTTCTACTCCTGATATTCATAGTGTAACAAAAATATATAATTTAGATGATATAAATTGTTTTGATTTCAAATAACGGGAGTGGGGTCCAGATTGAATTGCCAGTTTTTGTGGGCTCGGTTTCAATTAACCGGGTAATCTTATTTAAAAAAAAACAAAGTACAGCATCGGATAGAGCAAAGAAAGCTCTACATTTCCATATAGAAAACTATGTCGACATATGCTCTGCTGGAATTGAATTTCATTAACTCCTTTTATTTTCTATGTGCGTTGAGATTTACAGTCACACACCACGGCGATCACTGATTTGCGAAGAAATATTTTACAAGGTTCAATCAATATTGTGCTATCCAATTGGAAAAATAAACCTCTCTGCGTATTGCATATACCTTAAATCAAAAGACTGAAACAGTATTTCTATTAGTAAAACAACTATTTTTTAAATCTTCGTCAACAGGTGAAAGAAAATGAAGTAGAATTGAATAATTTAAGTGTTAGTTCTTCTGTTATAGAATAAGAGCCTTTTTTCAATGAACAAGATTTGAAACAAGAACCAATTATTTTTCACTGAACGACAAGCTGTCCCGCTTTAGTCACTAACTGTTGAGTAACAGCGAAGTGTATAGTTGAGCAAAAATCCAAATGATACGTTCGACGTTGCAAAGATTTATTCTTTCCTGTAATAGATGCAGTGTTCTGGTTAGTTCCATAATTAGTTCTATAACTAGGTTGCGTTATATAGAATAATAATTTCAGTTAGAAAAGCGTTCAGTTTTATGCATATGCTATGATTCTTGCTGGTGCTTCACTACCATTTTCGATCGGTATTGGTAAGATAAATATAGTTGCACCAACATCCGGTAATGTATTGCTATTTTCCGTACCAATATTGATATTCTCTACCAAGTATTTATCCGCTTTTAAAAAGACATGATGAGCACCAAATGTATTGTTATTACCAGCATCAATACTAGCGACATCGATACCCAAACCACGTACACCCTTATCAAGCAAATATTGTGCGGCTTCTTGTCCCCATCCAGGAAAATGTCGTACCTTCTTTTCATCAAGACCTATAAACTTTTTCGGGTCATTCCAGTATTTGCTCCAACCAGTATTAGCAATAACAAATGAACCGTTCTGTATACTGCCATGTGTTTTTTCCCAATTGATAATATCCTGTTGTGTAACTTGATAATCTCTATCACGTTCACTTTGCTGAGTAACATTAATTACAGCTGCTGGTGATATTAATTCTGCAATTGGATACTCATGTACCTGACGAAATGATAATAGCGATTATGGGTTAAATAGAATGGTATTATGGTACATACGTAGCGTTTTCCTTGAAAAAAATGTGCAGCACTATCAAAATGAGTACCTATACCGGCTTTCTTAAAAGTCAATTGATGTATAGCAAAACCATCAACATCTGCAAAATGTGTTTGTTTTTGGGAAAAACCTTGACCTTCTTCCCATGTTGGCATGCTTTCAGTAATGACATGGGTTAAGTCTATAGCACGTGATGATAAAAATAATGATATGGGAAGATCATTCATATTGTATAGTTTAATTGATTGTAGAATTAATCTTCTTACTTTCTTCTGAAATAAGATGATAAATGTAATGTATGATCTATGAAATATAAATAGCAATAGATATGTTCTTCGCAAGCCATAAACGACGCAGCAAGTGACAATAACTAGTTATATATGTGTAAAAGTATGAAGAAATACCGTCGAAATTTGCATGCATATAAACACGTGCCTTCTCTCTCAGCTACTTTGCGTTACATATATTATTTTCTTCTATTATAGTGATGGGACGAATTTCGTTATCTCATATAAAACTACTCATTAGTCGTCCGGGTATTCGTGTGGCTAGATGCTAATGCTAGAAAATGAATAAATTCTTCTTTCATTCCTTTAAGATCATCAAGCTACAAACAAGTCAAAACAAATCATTTCACTTCTCATTCATTAAAATACTAGAAGGTCCAGAGATCCTATTCTTCTCTCTATCACAATTACGTATCCAGCCGATTATCATTGCCAAAATTTTAGTCCAAATGGCTCAGTAGAAAAAGTTCTGCTTATAAGTTCCTTACAATATTTTTGAGCGATTCGTGATCATAATTAATATCTACAGGTGCACTTCCAGATAAGGTTCTATACGGTTTCAACTTTCCGTAACTGCATCTTCATAGTAGCCCCTTTTTTACTAATCGCAACTACATTGGATATTCGAAAAGGTAGGTCTTGTATTTTTCGTCGTTGATTAGGATACAAAAAAAAGCACTGCTTCCACGCCACCGGTGATATGTATCTTCGTCACAGATACTATACTTTGTAGTCAGGTAAATAAAGTATACAATGGCAATTACCAACAGAACAATAATGCAAATTATTACCTTGATGCGTACCATTTTTTAGTGTCAATGGTTAACGATTGAGGAAGGATGGTTAGTTTATTTTCGGGGAGTAATGAATGATTGTAATTGTACAGCTTTATTCGTGCCCCTATGTAGCATGTAGTTCGAAGAGAAAAAAGTGTGAAGAACCTCTCCTCAGAGGTTATTGAAGCGTATCCATAGTGTCTCTATTTACATAAAAAAAGAAAAAGTGCTTGATTGGTAAGAAGAACGCTTGAAAAGTTACGCTTCGAGCAATAGAACAGCGAAAGAACGATTTTTCGCTTCACAGAATAGGAAATATTATATTGGCCATGTGATTGCGTTTGTATACCGTCAAAAATAATGAAAAATAGTAATACATCGCGATATCGTCCGCTGTCTACCTGAAGTATTCACTGTTAAGCAGGATCTTCACTCCGTGAATTTTTTTGTGTCATATGTTTATATTAAAAAAATTTTTGAACCATTCTTTGGGATAAAATTTACTGAAAACCACCTAAAGAATGTACAAAAAAACTCGCATTTTCTGCATTTTTTATATAGAAAAGAGTAGTCTTTTTTCTAAGAAATTCAGCTATTTTCCATTAGCATTCTTACGTAAGAGGGTTGAAAATATGATTGTTAACTCTTTTCGACGAGCTGTAATTTTCTTTATTTGATTATATACTTAAAATGTCCGTAGCATGTTGTACATATATATAGATGGTTAGAAGAAGAGAAGAGAAACACACGATAATATCAAAGATGAAGAGAAGAGAAGAAAGAATCAAGGACATTTCGATGATCACATCAATGATCTCTAACAATGCTCATTCGATGCTGTGTGAAAAACTGCATCCGCTGCAGGACACTAGGTCACGATCTTTCTCTAAAAAAAAAAGAAAAAAAATCGAGCAAACAAATCGTTATTGTCTCTTCGTTTCTCTACTTCAACTAATGTCCATTTCAAAATAAAAGGCAGGTAGTTGTTTTTCGAATAACTCTTCAATGGAAAGAGTTATCGGTCTGTAG